ATCATAGCCCTTTCCTGAGGTCAGCTTTTGGTATAGTGTCTGTTTTATGCCTACTCATCTGAACCTGTCAAGTTCATGTGTATCTGAACACTCAACAATTTCATTTAGATGTAGAGATTCTTCAAAGCTGGGCACCTCCAGAAAGGGTGAAGACAGGGAAGAATGGTTGACAGCTGAACAGCATACACAGAGAGTGAGTGACTGACCACACTCCCCAGCAACTGCATGGAGGGGAACAGCAGGGGAAGCAGCCCTGCTTAGGAACCCACTCTGTCAGTCCCTGTGTGCTGCTGCAAAGTTAAAGCTGTTACTCTCACTTATTAGTAAAGAAACTCAATCTTCATTGTGTGCCACACTTACAATTTCCGAATTTAAGTCAGATATACTGGATTTTAAGAAAACAATATACACTCAGTAGCCAAACATTTAAAAATGTTTATTTTTATTTTATGTGAATGAGCATTTGACCAAATGCATGTGCACCATACATATGCGAAATGCCAGAGAGAGTGCATGGATCCCCTGGACCTAGAACTCTGGATGGCTGTGAGTCACCATATGGGCGATGGGAACTGCATCTGAGCCCTGGCAAGAGCAGCAAATGCTTTTTAACTACTGAGATGTCCCAATAGTAGTAGCCAAATATTTTAGTCTCTGTATTCAACTCTAGGTGTAACATAAAGATGAACTTCAAATATTGTGTGTGATCAATGGGTTGGTCTACTCTTAAATGTACAAGGCTTAATCATTTTGTATGCTGTATTTGGATTCTTCTCCAACATTTGCTTCCAGATAACTTTGGACTTGACATTTTGTATAGATCTTAAGATGTACTCAATCACCTATGGAAGGAACCCCAAGGGCTGATGAAATTATGTATGCAAAGAACTTGGACTTGATCTTTGAGGACACCTAAAAAGATCAAGTGGATATGGTTGATATGTCCTTTTATTACTTTAAATACTAATTTGAAAGTGTATGTATTATTAAAGTGAGATCAAAAGAGAGTATATACTACAGGCCTTTAAACTTCATATCAAAACATTGGGCCCAGGTTCACTTCAGCCTTAGGATTTTATTAGCCACAATTGGCACTGAGCATCCTGTATTCTCACTCAGTAGAGAGCAATGGGTAGTTCATTTTCAAAGTCATGGAGCATGAGTAAGACAAATAGTAGTAGTTGCCTTGTGCCATGTGTCAACAGGCCTTTCTGGACCAATGTAGTGATGTCCCTCCTACATACATAATTTCTACAAATACACCAGTAAAGATAGATTGTTATCTGTCTTGGATGGGTTATAAGTTGAACAAGCACTATATTTTTCCTGTAACTGTGTACAGTTGTGACACAATTCTCAATAATCTTAAGGTTACTGCTGCCAAAATAAATACAGCTGTAAGAAATGATGACTCTGTCATGCCTGTAACAACAAAATGGCATCCTAATGTGGTTCCCTAATTCAGGACACAACTAATATTCCCTTTGATCTCTGCATCCTGTCCTCTCCCCTGTGGAAGCACCATGAAGAATACAGCTTTTGGTTGAATGACAACATGGAACATGACATTAGTTCTATTAAATTAGGATATGACAAAAGGCATAAGTAAATCATATGCACAATGCAACATTAAACCAGACACAATAAAAGTAGATCAAGAAAATGAGTTGAGTTAGTATCTTAAAAGGAAATGCTGTGAACTGGAATGCTTATAAACTTCTAGAATTTGTCACCAGTTGTGTAACGAATTCCAACCTGAGGGTCCCGCTCTCTCCTCATAATGTGGTGTCTTCTTCTGTAATATTGGGCAAACACAGGCTGGGGAGATGTTTCAGTGACTGAAGTGTCTGCCCCTTAAATAGGAAACTGAGTGTGGAACCCCAGTACTCATGTAAAAAGCTGGATGTGGTGGCCTGTGTCTGCAACCCCAGCTCTGAGTGGAAAACTGGATTCAAGAAAACAATGAGTTAGCCAGGAGTTGGTACTACACTCCTGTATCCCAGTACAAATTTTCAGAAGCAGAGACAAGAACATACTGAGTTCAAGACCAGCCTGGGCAATATGTATGTATGTATGTATGTATGTATGTATGTATGTATGTATCACATGTATATACAGAGAGCTTCATTTTTCTTATTAATTAAACTTATTAATTTATTTTGTAGCCTCACCACAATTCTCCTCCCTCCTCTCCTCCCTTTCACTCCCTCTGCCTCCCCTCTGCCCTCCCACAAACCAGTCCTCCTCTGTTTCTGTTCAGAAAGGGGCAGGTCTCCCATGAGTATCAACAAATCAAGTTGGCAAATTAAGTTGAGGTAGGACAGATGATATGATAATATACATAATCGATCCCAAAAATTCTACTAGGAAAATCCTACCACTGAGAAATATCTTCCGTTATGTGGCTGAATATAAGATGAACAACAACAACAACAAAAAGCAGTAGCCCTCTTCTATCCAAATGGTAAACATTCTGAGAAAGAAATCAGAGAATCAACAGCCTTTACAATAGCCAAAAATAATATAAAATATCTTGGGTGCAAGTTGAAAATTAAAAAAAAAGTCTAACCAAGCAAATGAAAGACCTGTCGGACAAGAACATAAAGTCCTATAAGAAAGAAATTAGAGAAGATATCAGAAGACAGAGGGATTTCCCCTGCTCCTGGATTGGTAGAATTAGCATGTCAAAAATGGCCATTTTACCAAAAGTAATCAAAGCATTCCATGTAATCCCCATCAAAATTCCAACACAATTCTTTACAGACCTTGAAAGAACAATACAGAACTTCATATGGGAAAAAACACAGAATAACTAAAATAATTATGTACAATCAAAATTAAGAGAGTCAATAGGAAAATGGTATGAAGAATAAAATCCACATTCTTTTCTGCAATGTGACTTGTTTCCACCTGTCTGTATATATATATGCTTAAACATGGCATATCCATTATATTAGCAATAAAATAAACTGTCTTTCAAATAAAGAAAGCAAAATCTTCCATTGCTTTCTATCTAACCTCAGATTTTATTTACACACACACACACACACACACACACACACACACACACA